ACTATTTCCAAATATTTGCTCATTGATCATTCATGGTCAACTTCCCACCTCATTTCATGTTGAATTACCGAGAAAATAATCGGACATATTTCCTTTATTAAACGTCACAACAATCTATTTCGGATGTAAGATTTGAGGTTTTCACAGCGGTGAGTATGAAGATTTCTGTCTTCTGGGTTGTTGCGCCGTATAGTCTGGTCGATGTTTACCAATGTTTCAGAGGTCATACTGCCGCCGTCATCAAGGCGATTCGTATGATCCCGAGAATATGTTTGATAAGAAGGTAGCAGTGTGTGGCTTCAAAAGAAAGAACTTGTAATTAATCAAGAAATGACAAGGTGGCAATGAAAAATACATGTCTTTCGATTTTGTAACTATAACTGTTAACCCGTTATATAAGGGCATAGAAGGGATTTGGTATTGTTACATAAATTAAATGTAATAAGCACCAAAACGGAGTCTACGTCGAACTATGAAATATGTTTACTAGAGAAAGCGGAAGTGGCCTTTACCCTTTCGGAGCCTGCAACCAGCCATTTTATTTTGAAAAGAAAATGGGACACTGAATCTTCGGCTCGCTTACAATTCTCGTGGAGTGATGCAGTGTGGTTTACCTTCAGTTGGAGGGACTCGTACCATTCTCAGATGTAACATACTACATAATCACCTGAAGTGGATGTAACTCAATTTGGGGAAAAAATATATAACACAGGGCTGTTGCAAAACATAACTTTCAATTTAAATTCATCTCATACATTTCATGTCTGGTAACGTAGAAGGAAGATATAACCAACCAAATAGGAAGGAAGGAAGGAAGGAAAGAAGACATAGGAATAAGGAAATACGTAACAAAGAGAGACGAAAACGAGAGGATATATTACTGAAAACGTGAGATGTGTTCATCCGCCATCCTAACATTAAACTCTATAGCACGCAATCAGTTCCGTGTTCTTGTACGCTTAATTTGGATTAAGCACGAATAATAAATTTGCGATCGGATGTTACAAGAATACCACCGACATTAGCATGCATATTTTCTTCAGCATTTTTCCATCTGTTCCTTACGAAGAAACGAGGATTAACGCTGAGGCATGTCGTGAGGCTGCATACATTACGCAGACGCCTCATCCTGTGCACATTACAGAACGAGAAGGATACATTTTAACGAAACTCTTGATTATCGAACTTATTATAGTTTTAAGCTAATGATTTGTTTATTTATTCACTCACTTTATCTCTTTTATGTTTTCGTTATTCATACCTTCTGTTTCTGTTTACGGTTTCTCTATGCTCTCCTTGTATTTTGATTTATCTTTAGTTTACTTTACTCTTTCTTTGCTCAATTTTTATAGTTAATTTATAATTTTCCCATTACTTGTTTATTCTTCCATATTAAGTTTATGTTCATATTTCAGATTCATTACTTATTTTCTTATTATGCTACTTTGCGTTTTATTAATTATATTGTTATTTTAATTCTTGTTCCTTCAGCTAACCTTTACAAGAGTATATGTTCCGTATTTATTTGCTTCCTTTATTTCTTCTCTCTGCTCATAATCTTTCTCTTCTCTGTTATTTCTTTCTTCAACAATCCCCGAATCTGAACTGTCAATAGTCCAAACTTCTTTATGCCCTAAAAAACCCCACACCTTCAGGAAAATGTAGATTATATATAAATTACAATCGTCAAACCTCATTAGGACATCACAGAGCAGCCAGGATAAAATATTAGTTCGTTTGTCAGAATAACCGTTATCCAGTCAATATTCAACCAGTTACCTCTCAAATGCCAGTTAGACGCTTTGTTAATCTACTCTACCGTGAATTAGTTTGGTTACGTGCCGAACCAAAGGTTCTAGTCTACTGTGATAACGTAGTGGTTGGTCTGGTCTAAAACAAACCACAGAGATGCTGAAAGGTGTGCGTGCGTGTGCAGCATCGCTTCTCACTGACTGTCAGCGCCAAACGGCAAGCTTCAGGCAGTCTTGGACTACGTACGAATCTCCCTATTATAAAGTACAGTATCTAGTGGCTGTGCTAAAATGCAAAAACAGTTTCATTGTAACTGGAAATGCAGTAGTTTGAACATGTTGCAATTTATATTGTATCTTCAAAGCTCATTCAGCAAAGTACCTGACTGCTGGTTGATCGACCAGTTTTCAAATTATGATACTGGCAGGATTGTTTTCTTCCGTCGAAACGTCGAAACCAGCTCTGGGGCTCACCCAGTCCCATACAAAATCGTTACCGGGGTCACTTTCTTACAGGGTACAGGTGCCGAAATGCGAAGCTGACCACACACCTCCATCCAGTTTTAAAACTAAGAATTCGTGGAACGTTACCGCCTAGACACAATGTCTTTACTCTGCGATGCCTAAACACAAACGTTTTGTCATTACACAGACTTCCGTCGGACTAAAACGAGGACTCTCCTGTTATAAGTCACGATATAACGTTTTCTTAAACTGTCGTTACAAAATTAACTTTTCTTAGTGTAACAACGTAAAGATACGAATTCCAGGAAACACAATGTTCCGTCCAGAGTGGCTTAACGATAACTTACCATAGTGTCCACTGGCTTCCGCGTTACTGCTACTGACCTCGTTGAACTAAGCGTGTTTGTCATCCAGGACCCCTCGCAATGCGCAGATCAGATTCCCACCCCGTCACCACCAGTCTTGGACAACCCCCGCCCCGCATTAAATTTCTACTCGTCTCCGCAAAAGAAACACATGTGTTGTGACCTAGTTTAGTAGACATAAGCTCTGGCAGACAAACAAACTACACGGCTTGAGAATGCAAATTTCAGTATTACGAAAGCCACAAGTGTAATATTAGATATCCTACCATATAAATGAATAGTGAACTGTGTTAACATGTTATTATCGATTATATCACCACTAGTTGGTAAGGCGTCGACAAAGAGACTATCAACTAACCAAGAACGATGTAACAAATAAATACGAACAGAAAATTCTCATTAGATGTGTCCATTACATTTAATTCTACTGATTAGGATTTGAGGTTCCCACGGTGGTGGATCTGAAGATGGCTGTCTTCTGGGGTGTAACCCCGAGTAGCCTAGTAGAAGTTTACAGACGTTTCAGAGGTCTTTGCTGCCTCCATCATTACGCCGATGAGGCCCTTGGTAAACTTCTAACAGACTGCACGGTACTACAGCTTAGAAGACAACCATCAATTCTACTGATGACATAACTTGAAACAAAAGGAAGACTGGAGGGAAACGAGTTCTTGCAACGGTTGATTCATTACATTGTAATGAAGTATGACATTTCCCACTATGCATAAGCGATGCCCGTGTACACTGAATACGCCTCAACATAACACAAAACATAACTGCAGTGTAACTGAAAAAAGTTTCTACTGAGTGCTTTTAGAATTCATATGTAAAATGAAAACAGAGAGATTAATAAAAGTTCCATTCCGTAGGTTACATTTAAAACACAAAACACAATATTAATATGGATACCGAATATGCATTTAAATAACTCTCTAGAAAAACAAATTGAAAGTTTAAAAAAGTACCAACGCATATACCGAACACATACAGAGCTACTGTAACTGTTCTAAAACCATCACAAAAATTAATTAAAACACTACTTTTGTGAATAGCAGTTTACACTCAACACTTCCTCTCAAGATTTAACGTTTTATCAGTTTGAATATGCACTAAACGTATTTATCCGAGATTTATTTTTTTAAATTATATGACTTCTAAAGCTGTGTTGTAATTAATGCAAATATAGACCAAATACTTCAGCATAACAAAAATATGGAAATATACGGGCTTTTATAACTTCATCCGCCTTTGTTAACACTCAAACAGATTTTCATCACAGTTAATCTCACAAGAATTCCTAATTCATTAAAGATGAGAAGTTACCTTATTTACGAATAATTTCCTATTTTTTGCATTTATTCTGTAACCATCATGCTAATTTCAACAGCCAAAATAGCCCAGTCAGTAAACCGGCTAAAGTCTGCACAATCTGGCTTTGATTTCTGGCAAGATCAGAAACCTTCTGTCATCTCGTGCAGAAAACTCTCCATCCCCTCTCCAACCGAGCTCATTTCTTAGGGGATAAGCGACTGTAGCGTGAAGCTGCGCACTCGCTTCCAGTTGATGCCGATGTTAAAATAGCGAGATTTTACTTTTCTCTCCCAAAGGGTAAATGGATTTAAATGTGGTTACGGCGTCAAACACGGTTTCACAGAAATTGCAGATTTTCCATTTGTTTTAAAATTTACCTAAGTCTAATTCGCCGTGACATCTCGGCAACTTCTCTGACATATTTATGAAGCTGGTTAGTACACGGGACTTCTTCCGGTGTTCTCGTTGAGAACAACCCAACCACGAGTGTACTGATCCGTTATTTTATCGTGCCTTCGAATTTCGGCTGCGCTCTATCATGGCCGAGTCTACTCATAAGCACGTTCAAGGGGTGTATGGGTCAATTTATCAATTATTTCAAACACAAATTTGGAACTTTCCAAAACAGAGACTCAAAGTTCCTTACTGTGTCTTATTGGAACATGTAATGTGTTGTGTAAAGGCAAATATGAAGATATTACAAAAAGATATTCAGTAATGAAGTTAGATTATACGTACCCTCTTTCGGCCCAGCCTAATAACTACATTCATTCACTTTATGGAAGAAATTCCTTCTGGAAAAGTTAGTAATCGCTCAGATACTGCCCCTTTTACGGAAATTGAAGAATCCCAGCCCCTTTCCTACGCCAAATAAATTCAGTCCTTAACCTTCAACTCACTTTTTCAAAATGCCAACTTTCTTACTAGCCTTCAATTAACATATGCTCTAAGCCTTTTTATATAAAAACACAGTTCGCTAAATAAACATGGAAAGGAATAAATCCAACTGGCAGGCCTGTGCTCTGTGTGACCAGTGTTTACACAAAGACAGGAAGCCAGGGCGTGAGATTGGACGCCGACGGAATCCGCCACTGTGTTTCGAATGTACCTGAGATATTCCCGCGATGCGATGGATTCCCAGGACATGCTGGTGGACTGTCGTGACGGGTCGCTAGCCCTCTGCTGGCGAGCGATGGATGGTGGCGGGTAGGTGCCGATAAAGCCTTGTCGCCGCAGTGTGGCGACCTTTCTCTTTCATCCCGCCATCAGGCGTGGCCACTGCTTACTGGACTCGAGCCGAACTAGCGGGAGATCGGAGACTGACTGAGGCGCAGCATCCCTGCTGCAAAATGCGTGGACCACCCCACTCCCCGCTCGCAACTCCTACAGCGTGAGGCAGAAGACAGGAAGCAAGCCCCCGCCCACATTGACTTCCAGGAACAGACTTGTTTTTGGTCCCTTCGACAACGATGTTCCAACAGCGAAGACTGATTGGTCAGTCAACTGCTCAGCAACTATTTCAATAACCGAATTGGCACACTCATCGCCCTGATGATGGAGGCAGTATGACCTCTGAAACGTTGGTTAACATCTACCAGACTACACGGCGCAACAACCCAGAAGACAGAAATATTCATACTCATCGCCCTGATGACGGAGGCAGTATGACCTCTGAAAAGTTGGTAAACATCGACCAGACTACAGAGCGCAACAACCCAGAAGACAGAAATCTTCAGTGGGAGCTTTCTCCGCGGGTACAGTCGGCCGGAGCGTAAATTAAAGAGATTACCTTCATCCAGTGCCGAGGTTAAGCGATACAAACGACAAGACTGGCAACACTTATCAACTGAAGAGTTTGTATGAGCACATTGCTGACTTTGCTGTTGATTTTATCACTGCTGGGCTGATTCAATTTGAAACAAATAAATCGTGCATTATTTAAGAACTTGTCTTGGCATTCGCTTGTAGATACGGAGGAAAATCACGATTCCCTAGCCACACAACCCCTTCGAGCTGCCGAGATTCGATCCGCATACTTCCTAGAAACAGTTGTAGTGCGTTACGCTGACAGGAGCCAGCTCAGCGAACGGCTCTGTATTCCTGCACAAGTTCATGGCGTTATGTTCAGTGATAGTCTCGAAACCAGTGTGCTGGAAACAGAGGTAAACCACAGAAAATTCTTCGTCAGAAATCTCCGTTTAGGATTTGAAACGCGCACCTCGAAAACCCATATCAGAATTGCTATAGGTGTCCAGTGTTTTTGTTCTTAGATTATTTAAGAAACCAAGTTCATCTACTTAGGTTACACATTGTGGAACGAGGTAAGTAGATAATAATAAATAGTGTACAGTTTAAGAATTTTGAAAGTGGATTCTTTCTAGGTTTTACCCTGGCATTCTTTTGGAGAAACTGAGAAAAGAATATTCAGAACAGCCGAGGATCAGGCTGGAATTCGAACTGGGGTTACCACTAATCTGAGTCAAAAGCATATGAGTTCGAATATTTGTATATCAGGTTCCTGCCTTCCAGACCACGCTATAGCAGCCTCCACTCGGCCAGTAGGCGTCGGGAAGCGAGTATAGCCGAACTATGGGGAAAGGTCGACTACGTTTCTACAGAACTCGGGATACAGCAGTAACAAAGAGATAAGCTCATTTGGTTGTTATCGCTGAAAATAGATGTCACATAAAAAATGCAGTCTACTTTCTCTGTACATTTGAAAACTGTTTGTTGAGTTACGGGAACATTGACAATTGTCTGTAACCGGCCCGTCCTTTTGAGTTTCAGAACTGCAATAAAATGCAATAAAACTTGCCTACAGATGTCAACCACACCCACAGTCTCCGAGAGTTTAGTTCGAATTAAATGATTCTTTGTTTAGAGTCCATACGAAGATCACATAAAAATAAGAAGAAGAATAAAATTAGGTAAACCAGTAATTTATCCTTTATCGTACTAAATTTGTATTTGCAAGGGAAAAATGTATCCCCAAGAATATATTATTTTTATTTGAAATAAAACTTGTGGAGTAGAAAAATGTGTGATGAGAGGACAAAACTCTTAATGTTCTTGGAAGCCATAAATAAATTTATAAAATCCAAACTGTCCGTAAAAGGACACAGATCTAAGAATAACTTAGTACCAAACTCATCAGCTGAATTTTTGATAGTTACTCAGAGAATTTATTTAGAAATTAAAAAATCTTACAAAAGCGCACATATAGACCTATTTTCAAATATAACGTGTGCCTTCGTAATACATTTCGAGCTATACGTCATAAATAGTTGCGAGTAACATTCCTTTTTCTACTCCAAATATTTATATTCTGCGTATTCTTTGAACAAGGAGCATAATACGATTTCATGATAAAGAGGGACAGTCTGTTCTCACATTTTCCTGAAAGTAGTGAACCGACTTTGATTAAATTTAGTGACGGAGTCTATGTGGGATCTTGTTGGAGAACATAATAATAGCTCATATCAGTCAAGTTTAGATCTAGTTTTGGGATAACGTCTACGGATAAACTTACTGCTTTTCGGAACAGTCCTACCAGTATGTTACTGACAGTGAACGCGTCCACCGTCTTGTATCTTTAATGAACGAGCTATCGCTTCAGAAGAAACGCTGCCTTAAATCGATTGACTTGATAGCTTCACGAAAATGTAAAGAAAAAGAAACAAGACAAGGAAATAAATAAAAAATAATAATGAGAATAGAACTGAGATAATCTGTTTGTAAACTGTTTTTGAATATTTATATTACATTTAATTTTTAATTTTATTTCATGTTAGATATTTCAACGATAATTTTACTCGGTTGGGTTACCAGCAATATTTATTAATGTTTAACGGAACTTTCCTCAGTAACTTCACACAAATCCAAAGATAGCTTCGTCAAATAGACCAAAATCATCTCTTCCTTAAATCATACTTACTACGTGTTCATTAACTAAAACCTTCTGATTTGAGACCAAATAACCTATGCAGTTTAAACAACGTCATGGAATAATCTAATAATCACTTAGTATAATACTTGGGCTTGGGGTTTTCACTTCTCTTATGGGCCCAACTGCCTTCCTGAACACACTTTTTTGCTACGTTTTAGACCGCGACTCCTGGACATGAGAATTTTGATTACAGCATCCGAGTCAACGGCTGATGCAAGATAATCAGAAGAATCTTTCTTCACACAGTTTATCGCGCCTGCCTACGTCATTACATCCTAATTACAAAATTAATTGACAACAAGCCTACTGAACCCAGTTACCGTAATAATCAGCACTCGCATTACGTAGGCCTCTGCAGAATATTAACAAAATCTATACATCTTGCAGCCTAACCCCTCAACGTACAATGATAAATATATGTACCACCTTTTTTAACATTCAGTACCTCTGCATTTCGTCTATAAAGTTTTATTACGGGCTTCTCATGTTCCTCAGAATAAACAGTGGTTAATATCCTTAAAATCTATTAACCAATTGGTTTGTGATAGAGAGACGTTGCTTTTTTGAAGAAGAGGCTGAATTATAAATATTATTAGGATTATTCGAAAGTTTAACTAGTACAAGGGTATTGCAGGCCGAATAAGGATGCCGTATCTAGACTACAGGAACCATGTTTTATATCTTTCTATTGTGATTTAACAACGCTGTAAGAACTTTCAGGCTTACACTGCGGTGAAGATGTCTCATTTTCTTCTGGGTTATGATGCAGTGTAGACTCGTACTTGGATACTAGCGTTCGGATAAAAAATTACTATCATCAACCCAGAAGATGGAGACAGTACGTTTTTCCGAAACATTGTATCTACCTACAAGTCCACACGGCATCAGAACTCACCGATATTAACAACAGTGTGATTCTTGTTGGAACTCACATATGTTCATGGAAACTTCACAGAACTTAAAACTTTGCATACCGTGCAGTGTATTGTTATATAAAATCACGGGACGTCGAAACGCGTTTGGCACTAAGTGTCTTTTCAAGTGTGAACAGTTTGTGTGAATGCATGATTTTATATATTCACAAAACTTAAATTTATCAAGCACCACAAACAATTTGAATTAACAAAGGGTAGGGAGATATGCGAAGTAGCTAGAATGTTTTTGTATTCGGGATTGAAGTACAGATTTCAACTCTTGAAGTTTGATTTTAGTACAAACATCTATTGGTATACAGACAGAAAATAAAAGAACACTTGACATCTGCTAGAGTAAACATTTACTATTTGCAGAACCTAAGCAGAGAAACTTTCAAAAGAATTCTGTATTGTTTGCATCTCCCTTTAGCTAGCTGTATTGAAACATTTTCATTCCTCGGCTCTCAGAGCATAGAGTGTAGTATCATGCTGTCTTTCTCTCTGAATCCAATTCTGAGTTTAGCTTTCAGAAAGTGTCACGTTCAATTCCTGGCGTCATGAATTAATTTGTGTAATCGATTCTTCCTCTCAACACGAAGGCGTCTTCCCATACCATCAACTAGAAATTCACAGCTGTCGCTTGCCAGAATGTGTTACTATTCACTTCCACTCTTCAAAGAACTGTCTATCTTCTTAATTTTTATTTATATGCCTATTTACTTTATATAAACAAAATTAAATTATGTAGTGAATATTCTTTTACGCTATGTATTAAATGTATGTGTATACAAGTAAGACTTATTAGTAGTGTTGGGGGATTTAATAATAGCCAACTGCATTTCCGCATGACCTGACTCCTAGAACCTGGATTAGCCACTAAAATTGGCGTGTTCTAAAAAGTAAAAGCAACAACAACGAAGATATTTATTATAAATTATTTCGCGCAAGATTATATTAAAAAACATCATTATGTATTTCCGATCAGTTTTGATTTAATTATTAAATTCTCATTTGTTATAAAAAGATAAGTTCAATAATATTACGTATATAAACTATAAAATGTCTTCAATTCTAGACCAATTCAGTCCAAAATGTTCAAAATCAATAATTTTTTATTTTACATTGTTTCATGCTATAGCCAAATATAATTTCTGCATACACATGTGACATGTCAACCAAATATCGAATTTAGGTTATTTGTTCTTGTTCTAAGTTAATATTCTGAAAAAATAACTCATGAATTCTTGTATCAACATTTCTTCAAATTCCGTTATCTCTATACTTATACTTGCATAGCTTATAAAAAAATAATTAATTTCTTTTAAATTGCACATCTTTGTTTATATTTAACTGCTTTACATCCAGCAACACTTTCAGGAATCCAATTTAACTTGCTTAAGTCCTACTTTCATAATGTCATATTTCTCACGTTCATACCCAGAGACATAG